GAAGGGTGCTGACCCGAAACATCAGCTTTCCTGCTCCTCTGATGCTGCCTGGCCTGCTGTGTTCCTCCAGCTCCACACTGTGTTATCTCTGACTCCAGCATCAGCAGTTCTTACTATTCCTAAGGTGTGATGCCCAGATCTGCTCACAGTACTCCAAGTATGGTCTAACCAGTGTCTTGTATACTGCAGCATTAACATCTGTATCCTTATATTTCAGCCTTTTAGACATAAAGGCCAGCATTGCGTTAGCCTTCTTGACTATTTTCTGCAACTGTTGGTGTGACATTTTAAAAGAAATGTGCACCTGAACCCCCAAATCTCATTGGAAATTCACACTATATTTAACTTGGCGCCTTCTAAAAAATATCCTGATCTCTCCTTTCTCCGTCCGAAACGGATAACCTCACATTTGATTATATTAAAATTCATCTCCCACAGCTTTGCCCATCCATCTAATGTATTAATATCCTTATGTAATTCTATGTTGTCATCAAGACTGTGTACAAGTCTGCCCAATTTTGTGTCATCAGCAAATTTGGATATTTGACTTTTTATGCCATTATCGAAAGCATTAATAGATATCGTGAATAATTGAGGCCTTAACTCAGATCCCAGTAGGACACCATTAATCATGTCCTGCTATTTTGAGTACATATCCATTATTCTAATTCCCTGTTTTCTGCTACTCAACCAATTTCCCATTCATGCTGATAATTTGCCCTCAATTGGATCTTCTCTGCTCCACAGAAAACAGCCTGATCTTATTCATCCTCTCTTCATAGCTAAACTGCTCCATCCCAGACAACATCCTAGTGAATTTCCTCCCAACCCCCTCGAGAACAATCACTACACACCATACTCCAGCTGTGGCCAACCAGTTTTGTACAGTCCCACCATAATTTCCCCGCTCTTATAATCAATGTCACATCTGATAAAGGCAACTGTCTCATGTGCCTTCATAACTACCCTGCTAATCTGTCCCAATACCTTCTGGGTGGAGGAAAAATGGGGAGGCGGTGGCCTTGTGGTATTATTACTGGGCTATTAATCCAGGACCACTAGGTAATATTCTGAGGACCCAGGTTCAAATCCACCATGGCAGATGGTGGAATCGGGATTCAATAAAAACAAAATCTGGAATTAAGAGCCTAATGATGACCATGGCTCCATTGTCAATTGTCAGGAACATCTATCTGGTTCACTAATGTCCTTTACGAAAAGAAATTGCCCTCCTTACCCAGTCTAGGCAATAAATGCTGGCCTAGCCAGTGATGCCCTCATACTGTGAATGAAAAAAAGCCTAAAGATCCCTCCGTTCTTCTGAGCTTCCTAGTGTTCTTCCATTCATTGAGTACTCCCTTGTCTTGTTACTTCTACCTGTCCCATCACTTCATCATTTTGAACAGCTAGTAATTCACTCTGTAAAATCTGCTCTTGCACAAAAAGCAGCAGGTTTGAACTTTCCTATTGTATTAGAACAGAATCCCTAGTGTGGAAACAGGCCCTTCGGCCCAACAAGTTCACACCGACCCTTGGAGCATCCTACCCAGACCCATTCCCCTATAACTCACCTCAGCTACGCATCCCTTAACACTACGGGCAATTTAGCATGGCCAATCCACCTAACCTGCACATCTTTGGGCTGTGGGAGGAAACCGGAGCACCCGGAGGAAACCCACGCAGACACGGGGAGAATGTGCAAACTCCACACAGACAGTCGCCCGAGGGTGGAATTGAACCCAGGTCCCTGGCGCTGTGAGGCAGCAGTGCTAACCATTGAGCCACCGTGCCACCCACTTATTAGTATCATAATTCTTCAATAAAGGTCTTAAGCCCTACATATCAGAAAGGGCTAAGTTTTTTTTCCATGACTGTGCAAGGTCATGGGTTGGCACATGGTTTTAGTTCAAAGTACACATCAGAACATGAGGTCCTGTTCCTGACTGCCATCAGATGAATCCATTTTGGAAGTGCCAGTATTTAAACAGAACTGGGTTCAAATTTGACACTGCTGCCTTGTATCTGGGTGAAATAATTGCACAGAGGCAGGTGTCCCATCACTATGTCACCATTGACTGTGGCCAGCCAGCTCCGAGTCAGTCCTCAACTGAGGAGATTCTCCTGGTTACTTTTTTTTTAAAAATGATCATTCTCCTGGTTATATTGGTCAGCCAAGGTTTTCCGGATTGGCCCAGATTAACAACCCCAATCAAAAACCTTGTAGTTACTGGGGTGCATCTGGTTCCAATCACTACACTAGATTAGTAGATGACAAACAGTCCAGATTTAGGGAGACAGTAACATTCTAATCATAATCACAAACAAGATCCTGCATGTCATGACTGTGGAGCATTTCCTTTTCTTTTGTAAAGGCTTCAGTGAGTCAGTGAATTTCAACCAAATGCTGATAGAAGTACATCTGACTGAGTGCCATGGATGAGGAGGAATGGCCGGGAAAAACAACAACACTATTTATTTCATTTTGTTGAAAATAAAATTGAGAATAGAATTGAGCTCAACTGTACTTTTATGGCCTATCAGCATTCAGTGGCTTGTGCCTAAATGAAAGAAGATTTACAGAAGATACCAAAGGCTGAATAGAGCCCCTGAAACTGTACTCCAGCAAGGGTTTGGTCAGTGCATAAGAAGGTGATGGCAGAAGGCTGGAAATTGGTGGAAAATACTTTCAGTTGGTGAATGCATAAATGGGAAAATTACTTTGTGACTATTTTTACTACTTACTGTATTTTTAATAAGTTACTCAAAAAGAAAAATTGCTGTATTCTAATTTAGCTTTTACTATTTGAAGAATTAGGATATTACTATCTTTCCCACTTGCTTCACAACTGTCAATTGCAATTGCCCAGTTTATGTTTGGCCAGGGCCACTCAGTTCCAAACGTGATTTGCAGTACTGGGCCAAAACAAGGGCAAAAGAGGTGAATTCCAAGGTGAAGTGATAGTGACAGCCCTTGACATCAAGGCAGCATTTGATAAAGTGTAGCATCAGGGACTCTAGTAAAAATGAAGTCATTTACAATCAGAAGGAAGTAAAGACATACCTAGCTCAAAGGAAGCTATTGTAATTGTTATGATGATCTGGAATGAAATGTCTGACTTTGGAAAAGAACTCACTTGGCCCAAATGGATCTGAACAGACCGAAAAGGTAAGATTTCTTTTCCAAAGCACCTGAACTCAGTGGGTTTACAGGTCTGTTCAGGTCCATTCTTTTGAAAAGACCTTCAGTTTTTAGGGCAGATAAAGTATAACTTACCTGTAATTAAAAGGAGCAAAAATTACAGTGCTATGTGCAAGTGGCAGGGAAGTAGGACAAATTGAGGGGCTCTCATATAGAGCTGGGACAGGAACAAGGGGCCAAATGGCCTCCACTGAGCTGTGTAATTCTATGGTCGTAGAAATGATAACAGCAAGTGACAATGCTAGTCAGCTGCAGCCTTAGCCTGCTTCTAGCATGCATTGTTTATGGGATAATGTCACAGCCGAAAATCCTCTATGCAACCATCTCAAAAAGCACAATCTCCAATTCAGCCGTTCCAGGACTCACCAGCAGAATCATTTCTGTATGTTGGGTTTCCTTTGCCTTCCGTTTTTCTGCAGATTCTTAAAAGTCTCATCAGCCTTGTCAAGGGCTCCTAAGTGACAAAGTAAAAATACTTTATATTATTTCTTCCATGACCACAGAATGTCCCAAAGCGATTAATGGTAAATCAACTACTTCTGTAGTATCTCTGTTGTAATTTAGGAAAACGGTAACCTATTAGCACACAGAAAGCTCCATAAAACAAATAGTTATGTGACAGTCATCAGTTAATTGGATTTTGTGACATTGACTGAAGGCTCAATATTGGCAAGCGTACTGGGGAATCAAATTCCTGTTCCTCATCAAAACAACACCATGGGATCCTTAACATCTCAGACGAACCTTAACTCATCTAAAAGACATCACCTCCAACAGTTCAGCATTACTGTGTCAGCCTTGAATTTTCCAACCAAGGGTCACTGGACCTGAAACATTAACTCTGCTTTCTCTCCACAGATGCTGCCATGCGTACTGGGTTTCTCCATAAATTTGTTTTTGTTTCATATTTCCAGCATCGGCAGTTCTTTTCTTTTATTGAATTTTTGTATTCCAGTTCTGAAGGGTGACTCCTTAATCTTCTAGAAATAGTTGATGGTCTGAAAGAATGCAAAAACATCTTTTGATGCTCTACAGTAAAGTTATTTGAAGCTACTGTCAGATCTTTGGCTGTAGTAAAATAAATTTACCCTTTCATATATTTGAAGGATAGAAAATTATATGCCCATTGATTTATCCTAAGATAAATTAGAAAGGACAGGTTGGAAAGGGCCAGAAGGCTGTTGTTTTTTTCCCTGATGTTTTTAAGTTTTCTTCTGTGTACTGTTTAGCACAAGTAAACAAAAATCAAGGCCATTATGTTGGAGATCAATATGCAAGAGTAATTATTACATGCATACAATGGCCTGTGATATAATAAGGTTAATGCCAAGTTTACAGTTGCTGGATGTAAAACAAGCCAACAGAACAACCTGATTTTCTTTTCTTATGTTATTTCTTTCCTCTCCTCCATTTCTCCTGAAGACGCAGACTCCTTGCTGGGGTACGGTTCCAATGTGTACTCAGCTTTCCTTCATTATGTGTGTGACAAGACAACAAGTGTAGTCAGGCTGTTCAATTCAAACAAGCTAAGCTTGATCCATCAACATTTGGACATTTTCCCTGGGAATTCCATTCTGTTGGATCACTATCATTAATCTGACAGACTGGACCATCAGAAGAACTGAAATTTATTGCAGCATGAAAGTTGCCAGATATTTTCAATAACATAGGAGGAATCTACAGGCTGAAATCATTTCTACAAGTGGCTTAGATCAGAGAAATTCACTCACCGTTCTGTATTATAAGGGAAGCAACAATCAAGTAGGATACCTGATTACATTACTAGCAGTGACATCAAGTCATATGATAGCAAGTGTTTAGAATGTCTTACTGTAAAATGATAATGCAGGGATTTCTCCTATTATATGTAACGCACATAATTCATTAAAAGATTCTGATTATGAAGACCCACTTCATGTCTACATCTGAGCACAATGCAACACATTCCATGATTGTTCAATATTAACTTAAAATTCAAACCTAAACTACTCAGTAGAGACCAGATCCTAATTTTTACTCTCTGCTTTATGTATATCATCCCATCATACCTGCTGATGCTACTCTATGATTAGCCACAGGAAGTGATTATAATCAGAGTGGCCAATTTTACTTCCTTGTAAAAATTCCACAGTTGCTCCCTTCTCCATGCAGCACAAAACAGCCCAGAAATACACCGTGGATCTAAAAACCAGTAATATAGGATTGGATTGTCTGCTTGTTAAACGTCTCTCAAACTGTTTGGAAAAGTCACAAGATGTATGTAACAGGCAGTCAGTCCTACATTGATATGGATTGGTCTCCAGTCAATGTGCTTCCTGGCATAACAGTGCATCTTAAAACTTGCAATTTTAAATTGCAAAGATTTCAACTCATTCATTCAAACATTTCTTATAAAATCCTTTTCCTTATCCTTTTTGAATTGTATTTCTTCTTTTGATCTGAGGTTTTCATGCATCTTAGGCACCTTACTATCATGCAAATGAGAATGGATATGGAAAATATAATAAAAGAGAAACACCTGAAAGTGATATCAAAATTAGTTAATTAGCATTGTAATTTTAATCTACAGAACAGAAATTGGCTATTAACTATCAATCTACTTTCCTCAACTGTACAGAATATTTTTGTTCCTTTGCTCCTCAAAAGGTAGAATCATAAACCTCACGTCAAATTATCAGGGGCAAGTGGTCTAAAAAGTGTTGTAATATTTTAGATATGGTTAATGACAGCATAATACAGACTGTATAATTTTGAATGGATAAATTGCTTCCTCAAAGACCTCACAGGAGCCCCTAAAAATTTCAACCGTAAACCTGTACAGATCTTCATTTTCATAAATATACACTCAAATTTTACTTGACATTTCCTGGGATTTTAAGATGTTTTTTACTTTCATTTTAAACAATAGTTTATTTGAAGAACACTGAATGTGAACAGTGACAGCTAAATTATGGGCAAAACAAAAAACAAATTTCAATTCAGAAACCAATATACGAGGTACAGGACATTTTATAATGTGCTGAATAACAACATCAATATGCATTGTGCAGTGGACAATGAAAGTCGATCCAAGTCTTCAGTTTTTCAAGTGATTCATTTTTAAGCAATTAATCTTATTGCATGCAGTTGAATCCAAGTTTATTTGAAAAGCAAGTGATGACTAAATTAAGCATTTGGTGAAAAATAAACCAAGAAGAAAAATGAATTTTGAAAACATGCAGATTACCCATAACTTTAAAAGAAATTGCAAAGTCTTCTCTGACTTACATCCAATGCATATGGGAACAAAGAAATAGTAAATGTTTAGAGGAGGGAACATAGGGAATCTCAACGGGATACATTTCTACAATATTGACATCTGTTTTGTAATGATTATTGCTGCAATTTCTGCCATTGAAGGAAAACAATCTACTCTTGGCTTCTTCTGGACTAAAAATATATGAAACGACTGACACGTTATGGATTAGTAACTATAAAAAGAGATTGAACTTCTGAAACATCAGGGAAATGAAGCAGTTAGTTTTCTTTCAAAAAAATATACAAATATAGAGATAAAGGAAGCTGTTACCTTTTTGTTTAGATTAACCACTGAAAAAAGTAGCAGTCATCCAATTATTTATCTTCAATACTCTATCTAGAAAACCATTCCAAGTGCAGCCACTCATTTCATGCAAATCTAAATGTTATGAATATTTTAGTCCATCTTAATTGCTGTGGACTTACTTCATTTGTATCAGTTAGTTTCAAGCATAATCCTAAAAAGATCATGTTTTATCTGTGGTTTTTTCTTGGACACCACTATCATCTGAAAGTTTCTCTTATATTTTGATATCAAAATTCCTCAGTGCTCAAGGTACAGATCAATCCGACATATTACATCTCCAACACATAAGTCCAGTTTATATGAGACTGATCTAACAATCCAAAATTAGATTTCACATAAATCTATAAAGTATTTTCATACAGAGAATAGTGAAAACTATTTATGGCTGAAAAGACAGAGACATTCTGTTGAAGTTTTTCATTTTGTACTCATCAGAAAAGAGTCAGCAATCTCATACTTCAAAGGAAGTAACTTTTTTAAAAATTGACTTTTTATTCCAGAATTTTGACCGAGTGATAGTGAAGGAATGAATATATTTCCTATTCAGGATGGTAAGCGGCTTGGATAAGAACTTGCAGGTGGTAGTGTTCACATGTATCTGCTGCCCTAGTTCTTCAAGATCGTAGTGGTCATGGGTTTGGAAGGGGTTGTCTAAAGAGGCCTTGATGAATTTTTGCAGTGTGTTTTGAAGATAGCATCCAAAGCTGCTACTGAGCATCGGTGATGAAGGAAGCAGCTATTTGCGGATGTAATGCTAATCAAGCAGGTTGCTTTGCCCTGGATGGTGTCAAGCTTCTTGAGCGGTGTTGGAGTTGCAATCGCCCAGGCAACTGAACATCAAAGGGTGATAGTTAGACTGTCTCTTACTGGAGATGGTCATTGCCTGCCATGTGTGTAGGGTGAACATTATTGCCCAATTTTCAACCCAAGCTTGGATACTGCCCAGAGCTTGCTGCATTTGGACACGGATTGCTTTGATTTCTTAGGAGTCACAAACGGTGCTAAGCATTGTGTAATCATCAGCAAACATCCTCACTTCTGGCCATATACTGCATGAGGAAGGGGTACTGATTGTTTGGCAAGTAAACTCTGCTTGGTCATGTTGCTGACATGGAGAACGCACCAGAGAACAGTTTTTCACCAGGCATTTCTTTTAATTCAAAAACACAAACCATCTCTGATTATTTGAGGCAATGCCATGGGGAATAAAGATTGGGACTGGGGATTAGTCTACAATTTCTCTAACAAAGAGTTTGTGGGCCAAATTACATCTTGGGCTGCAAGCATTTTTATAACTTGGTGTTCTTGTTGATCTTTATGTTTACTAAAAGATCTCCTCATATCCCCACTCCTTGTCAAAGAAGAAATCTGATGAGCACTCAGGTGATCTCAATGTCAATGTAACTATTTCACTTGGGAGTGATATTTTGTTGAAGAACAAGAGTTTATTTTGAGAGAAAGATTCAGTTCACTGGGAGGAGGGAGCTGATATATTTAGCCACCCCGGTTAATCAGAGTCACCAGCAATGGCAGCAGTGCATAAAAGAGAGAGAGTGGGGGAACAGCGCAGACCTAATTGGAGGCACCAGCAGTGGCCACGTGTCCTCCACTGTGTATTCACCATAAAAAGTTAGGACAGACGTCACAAGGCATCGGGCATTAAGGATTTCTTTTCTAAACTAGAATCTGGAAATAATAAAATACTCTCTCACATTTAAAGATTCAATCGTTACATTAATTAATATTAATATTATGACAAATAAATCACTGAATAAATACTTTCACTGATTTAATAAATAAATAAAGTTAGTCTAAGACAGGGCAGAGCAGGTTGTGTGCCCAGATTGCAG